AGGATGTCAACAACATCATGTCTGTTTAAAATACAACCAAAGACACCCTTTACAATTGCTTGATTGACTGCCAGGGGCCAAGCTGACATGCCTTCACTCACAACAACTGAGGGAACTTGAGAGCAAGGTGGTGATTCACTTATACAGGAGTCATCATTGTCATCGATATCCTCATCGACAGGTTCTGTATGACCACCCTCAGATGGAGGAGAACTTTCTCTTTCTGATCCAGATGCAGATGAACTTCCACTTGCAGACAATTTTCCACTGGACAACTGCAAAACAAAACATAGTTTATCAAATCTCTATTGACAAAAAAACAATCAAATATTGTTTTCCCCTCTAACTTTTGTAACTGACATTCTTTTCAATCCCAAAACTTAAACAGTGACATGGAGGAAGAGCAGAGGTTGGAGTTCCCAGTTGCTTATTTAAGTTGGTATGCAGGTAACCACAGACCTATTATATTTATAACCAAAGTATAATATAAGAGAATTAGAGATACCTACGTGTTTGACTTTATGCTTCTTCCTACTTTTTTCCTCCTTCGGTTCATGATCAGTTTCACTCTGAAAATGTTTCAAATGGAAAAAAAATAATGTAAGAAGTATGTTTAGCCTCAATTGAGATAAATATTTCATAACAATAATGAAAACACAAAACAATCACAAAGCTGTTCAAAAGTAGCATTAACGAGAAGTTTCCAAGGGACACACATTAATGAGCCCTTGACAAAATCACGTGCAAGTAGAATAACAAACCTTGCAGGATCTTGTTTTAATCTTTTGGTATCGTCGCTGTTCACTGAAGAAATTCTGAATATGTCTGGCAATGCCATCAGCATTGAAGAGTAGTTCTGGTATCCCACACTCTGGAGTAATTCTAGTAGCAAATTCTGTCAGCTGTTGTTTTGTATCTGGACTGTTAAATTTGGGCAAGCTGTCTCCCCATCTTTGTGTTGCTAATAGCCCAATCTTTTTTCTCCTGTATAAAGTTGTAGATAAAATGTAAGCTGAAATATACACCCTATGATAAATGAGATTTACTGAGCTGTGCTGTTGCCATCGCAATTCATGACATAAGCACCCTGAAAATATCACCATGCAGATAAATATCCAAACATTGCACAGATTATTATATAAACACCAATGAAATACCAAGTGAGCTTTCACGCGAAAACATGATATCTTCACATGTGAAAATAACATGTTATCTTCACACGTGAAAAGATCACCGCTGCTATGGTTACATGATAAATCGCGCCTTTGCAATGATTTGGTATTTCATTGGTGTTTATAGAATAAACAGAATATTACATGGCCGCTTGGAGATACAAAATTTCTTTTCGAGTGTTGAAAAATATTTTTCGACACTCGAAGAGAAATTTCGTATCTCCGCGCGGTCGTGTAATATCCTCTATATCTGTATAAGTCTGTAGAACCAGTTTAATAATTCACCATTTTCAGACATACCATTACTGAAGGTGAGAGAAAGAGGTACACCTGTAGATTCATTGAAATACTGTAAGTTACTTTTTTATTTATAATCATTAAAACAGAAACCACCATATTATTGCACAACTTACTTGGACAAATAGTGTTGTCTCATCTCTGGCGACATAGATGACATATCTGCCATGGTTGGCTTGTAAGTGTTGGTATTTTAAAATCACTATTGCATTATTTCCCAAACTGAACCCAGCATTGGGAAAAAGTAACCCAAACTTTTACCGTTCCTTTCCCAATAGTGGAAAATCTTGTCCCAATATTTTCAATAATTGGAAAATTTCCCAACATATCCCCAGTGTGGGAATTGCAAAAAGTTTCCTGTGTTACCAAAGCGCGGGCACGGCATAGCAAATCCTTATTTTGGATACAATGACGCACTGTTTAGTATCCAGAAACTTGGACAACTTGAATCCATAATATTTTCTCTTACGAGAGGTGACTCCACCATGCGGCATGCCTACGTGAACCAAATGAGCCTGTATTCCATCTTCAAGGTTGACATTTTCATTTGGTTGTAACACATGCTGCACTTCTCCCACGATCCTATCAGCATTTAACTCATGACGAGACATGAATGGTAATGAAAGGGGGTATTCTAATGACCGGCTTTGGAGGACAAACGGAACGAGATCATTTCGTCTACCATAGAATCAAAAACCTCATCCAGTTGATCCATAAGGGGGGCTCCGCCCATCTGCGGTTCCAGTGAGAGGTGATAATGTGTGGCTGAAGTGTTAAATTTTCGTACTTTTCTTGTGATCATTTCACGAAGAGTGTAGTGTTTGTCAGATGTCCATATATTCCCTCCAGCACCCACTTGTTCTATGGACATTAAACAGTCCACTTCTTCATTCTGATGACATAAAAGCAAACTAAGAATAAGAGAAAAAATGTAAGACTAGAAACTGAAACATCAATCAGGCACACGACTTACAGGAATAAACTAGGAATGGGAACGATATTATGACTCACAGAGTCATCTATTAGTAACCAGACTTGCAGGAATAATGAGCTGTTCAACCTAGGAATGAAACTGAGGTCTCAGTACTTACAGAGTCATCTAGCAGTGACGTAACTTACAGAAATAAAGTGCTGTTCAACTTAGAAATGTAATAGGGTTTCAATGTTATTTGTTATAAATGAAGGAATGACTTGACTTACTTTGTCTTTCAACAGATAATCGTAATCTCAAGTATCAAATGCTGAATTCATCTGCTCTTCTTCCCACTGTTCCATTGCTTCTATAAGTACATTATCCGTGATATCTTCTTCAGCTTCAAACCCTTTGTTCAGTGAGGTTTTAGGAGATACAGTCAGTTCATGTTGTTAACTACTCCGGATGGCAAAAGTTTTATTGCTTACACACACACTGATAATGAATGAAATCTCGAGCTAAACCTACAAGTTTTTATGCTTATGTAAATAATAGAAAGTTCCAGAAGCGTCTCTGCATATATTTGCGCTTGCGGGACAATGCATGCTAATTATCAAACACTCTACATTATGACTATGCCTGAAAGGTGATAGAATGAATCGAACTATACAAGCTGATTATGTAACATCTCCCCTCTAATCGAAAATGGCTTAAGGCCTTAAATGAAATGCTGAAACTAATTAAATTGTCTCTATAAGTCTTTTAGGTCTTGTAATCACACGTCTTGGTCGTTCACTGCTAGAGCTCTCGTCACGCTTTACGCTCTCGNTAGAAAGTTCCAGAAGCGTCTCTGCATATATTTGCGCTTGCGGGACAATGCATGCTAATTATCAAACACTCTACATTATGACTATGCCTGAAAGGTGATAGAATGAATCGAACTACACAAGCTGATTATGTAACACATGTACGCTTGGACTAGATTCCACAGTGTTTTGTCTATCTTCACATACGTTCGTGGTGACAAAGTCGAGTTTATTTGACGCTTCTGAAATCCTATAATAATTGAATGAAGGGTCGGGGGGCTGTCAGGAGAATCATTAAGTTTATTTGCTTTTGTATTAGGTTCCACAAACGATTGCAGGTCTTCAAATATCTCGGGATGAAGAAATTCGACTTCATTTAACGCTTTTGAGACTCTTTCATTGTTGAATTCTGGTGTTGGTGGCGTGTCTGGGGATACAAGCATTTCATTGACGTGCTCCAGTCAGCCAGTAATTTGAATTGTTTGCTTTCGTACGCAATCTCCTTTGCATTTCTTCAACGTTTTCTTGATCTTTGAATTGGTTTTGAACCCAACGGGGCCATTTCATGTTGTTAAAGAGTTTCATCTGGTTTAGAAAAACGAAAACGCAGCCATAAACGCTTGATAAAAACAAAAATAAAAATATTTCATTGACATGAACTATTGTTTAATTGAGTCGTGCAGAACTCTTTTATAACTTATTTTATTTAAGAAATAACTCCTCTGACCGAATGAATTATTGCGCTATTCATTTTCATTACAACGTCTTTCTTGCAATTTTTAAATTAACTTTTGTTACACTTTACTTGCAGGTTCTAAACGTTTGTTTTATTTGTCTGGAGGAGGACTTCAACATTCCATCCTCCGGCTGTTGTGGACAAGCTGCCCACACTAGATGTAAAGTACGGTAAGGCATATTGTAATTAACAATTCTAATGGTGCTTTGTCAAGTTTTTTAGAGTACTTACTTAAACTGTACCTTTTGTTTCATTTCAGTTGGATGAGAACAAAGATCCGAACGGCCATACAATGCCCCGCCTATACGGAGCAGTATCCCCTGCCTTCCAAAGAAGAAACGGCAGTGGATGAAATGCTCATGAGGCATTTAAGACAAGTAAGAGGTGTTTTGAACAAGATGTCTTGGTGTACAGTTCTAATCAGTCAATATAAAAAAAAAAAAAGATAAGCAGGTCTTTTGTGTATTAATCCGACAGTCGCGTCTTTTGATGATATAGGATAATCGGTTAATCGCTTTTTTTTAAACTGTTATTGGAATGTCACTGATCGAGAAGTTATTGAAATCTCATGTAATTAACGCTTCGTTTTTTCCTTTTTCGTAGTTTTGCAGGGAAACACACCCAGAAATCCAAGTACAGAGGACGTGCATTGCGTGTGTATATTAAGACACAGGATTAAATCCCTTGCAAAGACATGATTTTGCATTTAATATAAGAAGGATTGCCGCGTGCATGTCGGCGGTATGCCACATTGTTCGCGTTTAATGAGGCAGCTTCGTCATTATTATGGCTAACTTCTCATTAGTCTCGAACAATGTCTACGCGAGTGTACAAAATCTTATTTTAAATGCAAAATCATGCTGGTACTGGATTTAATCGCGAGTAAAATATACGCAGGCAATGTCGTGCACACCAATTACTGTTTGTTTCTGATTTTATTAAAAATCAACCTTGTAAATAATATAGATCCCGTTTTATTAACATCAATTTTAACTCTTTTCCGTTTTTGCATTATAAATACACTTATTTTAAAAACCGTGTGATGGATATATACCACAAATGTTTTCTTTTTCATTTCAATTTCATTTTTTTTTTCTATTATTGTGTCTTTTGTAAATACATCCATGCATTTCTAAACCAATGTAAATAGACGAGCTTTTCTTTTTGTTTTTACCTAACACAGTTCTGTAGGACTAAATAAATATTTGTAAACTTTTTGAACAAATGTCTCTTCTTGTTTGATGATGAACGCTTTGGTTCTTCGTAAGTACCATGGTGTAAAAGGTTCTTCAATCCAGTCATTCACAAAGTTCTAATAAATTATTTTCCTGAGCCATTGTTCCCATTGTACTTGCAACTTGAGCAACTGTCGTATTTTCTGCGAAAATTTCCTTTCGTTCATAAAGTAGAAGGTAGGAACTCTGAGTTCACCAACAGTCGCTTCCATACCATTTGGTTCCCAACTGACTTCTACTGTATGTCGCGCTGAGGACTTGGGACAAATCGCATCCCACAGTTGATTCAGTAGGATTATAATTCTGTCTTCCAATTCTAAACGTTTCATACGGGTCGTTAGTGCCTCCATGTCCAAAGCAACGATCTGGCTCTCTCTGTCTCTCCCTTATTTTTTCAAACTCTTTTGATTCTTTTGTTTTGTAGAAAGGTATATAAATAGGAGATATAAAAACCGGTTTTACTCTAGAAAATACCAGAATTGAATTGCATTACTTCAAAACCGGCTTGACTGGTTTTTGCATTATTACTTAACTGTTACTCCATTACTCAACCGTTACTGCAAGATAACTCCGCTATTTTGAATCATCAAAACCATCTGACCGGTTTTACAGTGTTCTCTGATCGGTTCTCAGCGAAACCTTTGTTCTTAACTTTATAAGCGCGATATCACCCGGATGGTTAGGCGGTACGTTCACTCCACTACAACACACACATCGCTCTTAAAAAGCCATTTATTATTCAAGAATAAAACTCTTAAAACAATAACACACACATGTATAATTATTCTCCCTCTCAATTTCCCCCACATATACCTACACGGCCTGCATCTTATCAAACCGGTTCTGGATTCATTGCTCATTAATTCCAGGCTGCTGAATTCATGAATAAATTGATCTAGTCATCCGCCTCATACTACTGAGGGCAAAGCCTCGTCGCTTCCATAGAAAACTTTCTAATTTTTGTAATTTTCAAATCGTCATTAAAGCTTAACCTTACACGGCATTGGTCTGAAAATTGGTGTTCAGCTGGCTATTTAAAACATGCTCGTTGAAGTCCTGAAATTTATTTGTCTGTAGCTCTAAGTTTGGAACTTATCGATCACGTGACCAACTGTTGCAAAAGGCCTCTTGATTCTCTCGAGATCTCTTTTTTCGGTGTACTCCGGGAAACGAAGTACTGTCTCGGTTCATTGAAGTATTAATGACTGCACTTATTTTTTTCTTAATTTTCAGGTGTTATACATGTGATTTACTTGTCAAGGAGAATCTTTTACACAGCTGCCAACAGTTTGCACATTCTCTGTTTTCCAATTCCCCTTAATGCACTCTGTTTGCCCACCAAGTTTTGCATGAACTATTGTTGTGAAATGCTCTTGGGAGGTCGGCATACTCCCAAGAGCATTTCACAACAATATTTTCTGTAAAATTTAGAGTGCAAACAGAGTGTATTAAAGGGAATTGGAAAATAGGGAATAGGAAGTGCTAAAACAGGTAAAAGAGATAGCAGTTCACAGCTGGAAACGCGTTCCGTAAGTCTTGGACAGTATTCTAACTTTGTAAAGCTTGTCTTTATTCAGTTTCAGATGGACATTTCAAATGGCCACCCTCCTGATGAGCATCCAGTGGTTGACGAAGATCTCACTCGCCGAATTTAACGAGTAAAAATGTGTTCACACTTGGTGCCCTAGCGCTTGTGCATGGGCACCGGCCCAAAATAGTTCTGCGTTTCTGCACTGGTACTCAAGTATCCAAGTACCATTTAGTGCCCGAGTAAAAGGAACCCGGACACCGGCACTGTGTCCGAATTCTGGTGTGAGTACTTGGAAAAAGGGGTGATGTAACAGCTCTCGTAAGGTCTCACATAAATGGCTTGCTACCCTTTGAGAGAACAATACGACAAACAACAGAAACAATGCCCTTAGACCTAAAACAATAACAGCTGCTAACAATGAAGAGAATTACGAGCTTACGAGAGCTGCTACATTTCTGGGAAAAAGGTGTGTTCACATTAGTACCCAGCGACACCAAGTGTGAACATAGCCTAAAAAGTCCACTTCTTTTCAAACACTTTTTAACGGTACAAAACATTCAAAACTCATTGTAATCAATAGAGAAATGTTTCGTATGTTAATATCAGTGATGAGCCCTTGCCGTTTGTTGTCTCTTTAGCACTGCCGATGAAGTCATCTAGAAAAGAGCTACAATCCCAACTGCATTCCATGTATAATCTTTAAAAAGGGGTAAACTCATATTCAAAATTGTGATGTGGCTTCCTGAGAAGAACAGCGGCCTGCAAGAGTTATCTTTGCCACGGAGATGATAATTGCAGAAACTGTCCGGCAACGAGGGT